GCAAGATGATCTCATGTATATCTATCATCCCTTGGGCCCAGCTCCACACTAGATCCCTCCTGCACCAACGCTCCAGCCGAAGCAACTCCAAATACAAGGTCAAGGTACCATCAAGGGTCCTCATATCTCCTCTGGTGAACCAGACCAGTCATCAACAGAGGCTGCCTCTTCAAAGAGCCACACAGACTTACCATCACCACCGATGCCAGCCTGTTTGGATGGGGAGCTCACGTTCAATCGCTCACAACCCAAGGCCGCTGGTCCTTCATAGAACAGTCGTGGAGCATAAACTGGCTGGAGCTTCGAGCAGTACACCTGGCTGTCTGCAGCTTCCTTCCACAGATATGCAATCAACACATACTAATATTGACTGACAACATAACAGCCAAAGCTCACATAAACAAATAGGGGGGCACACAGTCAAAACACCTCATGTGGGAAGCAGAGCGCTTGTGTCTTTCAGCGGAGAGCAACCTACTTTCCATCAGAGCAGAACACATTTCGGACCTGTCAAATACACAGGCAGACTGGCTAAGCAGGGCCACGATCGATCGATCCGAGTGGTGCCTCCATCTGACCCTGTTTCAAGAGGTGGTCAGGAGATTCGGGCAGCCGGTGATAGACTTGTTTGCTTCCCCCCTCAATTCTCAGCTCCCTAGATTCATTTCCAGGTACCCCTCGCAAGGAGCAGAGAACTTCAACGTGCTCTGCTGCCATTGGCCCCAGGGTCTTCTGTACACATTCCCACCACTTCCTCTGATCCCCAAGGTCATCCAGAAGCTGCTGGAAGAGAGGTAATAGCTGCTAATAGCTCCTTACTGGCCCAGATGGCCATGGTTTGCAGACCTCTGCAGTCTATCCTTATCAACACCATGGAGAATTCCGTCAGACAGGGTTTTGCTAACCCAGGGACCCCTTCAACATCCGGACCCTCATTGGTTGCACCTGACCATCTGGAGACATCTGAAGAGCGATCAGTTTTCCAACAGAGTTATCACCACCATCCAAGCTGCCAGATGCCCCTCAACGAATCGCATCTACAATGCCACGTGGTCCAGTTTCTGCAAATGGTGTACTAAGTCTCAAACTGATCCCATCTATCCATCGGTGGCTCAAATCCTAGAGTTTCTACAAGAGGGGCTTGACAAGGGATTATCACCTAATATGTTGAAAAGACAGGGGGTGGCCTTGGCATCGGTTGTCATTTCTGAGGGTCTACTGTCTCTTTCTCATCACCCACGCATACGGAGCTTCCTTCGAGGAACCACAAATTTACACCCGCCAGCGGTTCACCGTTATCCCACTTGGGACCTTAACAAGATCCTTGTTGCACTCACTAAGTACCCTTTCGAATCCTTGAAATAGTCAAGTCTCCAATTTCTGACATATAAGGTAGTTTTCCTTGTAGCGATCATTTCTACTCATCGTATTTCGGAACTGGCAGCTTTGTCAATCAGAAAAGACCTTTGTGTCTTCCTTTCTGACTGGGTGGTCCTTCGTCCTGATCCTACATTTATACCCAAAATTAATTTGGCGTTTCACAGGGCACAAGAGCTGATACTTCCTAACTTTTGTCCAAGGCCATCTCAAAGGTTGGAACTACAATGGCATCGGCTTGATGTGAGGCGAGCATTGCGAATATATATTCACCGCACAGTGACTTTCAGAAAAACGGAAGCTTTATTTGTGTTGTTTCAGCCAAACACTCAGGGATGCAAGGTCTCTTCTTCCACAATAGGCCATTGGCTATGGGCTGCAATAGCAAAAACGTATCAGACTCAATCACTACAGGTGCCCAGGGGCATAACAGCTCATTCAACAAGGAGTGAAGCAACATCGGCAGCATGGGCCACGCAGGCACCAATAACTGAAATTTGTTGAGCCGCAACCTGGGCCTCTCCATCGCCCTTCATTAGGCATTATAAAATAGATGTGTTTGCATCCGCTTTGGCAGAAGAGTTCTGCAATGGGTCCACAGGGACCAGGAGGGGATTCCAAGCCAGACGGAGTCCCTCCCATAGGACAGGCCAAGTTTTGGTATGTCCCACTACTGGATGCTCTGAACAGTTCATAGGAGAAAGGGCATTGGTACTTACCTGATATGGCCATTCTCTTTGAGCTGTGAAGAGCATCCAGCCCCACCCCTTTTTTCTGTCTGGTGGGGACCCGTTTTGGCCAACGAATTGTTAAGGTGTTCAGGGCGAGTGGTGTTTATTCTCTCGTCTTCACCAAAATTGGGGAACGCTGGGGAGGAGTCCCGTGGAGGAGGAGGAGCGTTCCAGAAATTAAGCCCAGCCTAGACGTACAGAGACTGCAGCACCTCCCACTACTGGATGCTCTTCACAACTCAAAGAGAAGGGGCATATCAGGGAAGTACTTTCTGTTATTATCCCTCAAGCAAAATCAATGGGGAATCTGGCTGGAAGTTGCAAATCACAGGTGGATCACAAGCAGGCCAGAGGGTTGGTGAGTACCATGGAGTGAAGTGAAGAGGTGCTGTGTGGGACCTGGGGATGTTGCTGCGGTGTTCAAAAAGTGCTTGTGGGCTGGGAATGGGGTGCTACAAAGCAAACACAGACTGTGGAGTATGAGATCCCTAGGATCTCGTCATCTGAAACAAGGTTGATTTTACTTGTAGGAAGCCGGCAGGGAGGGTCACAAATGGAGACCACATAATTATAGGATGCTACAACTGTTGTAAGTTTGAGCCAATTGCCAAGCACTTGGATCATAATCTCATGACTGAAAATGTGTTGCAACAATCAGCATAAGTACCATTTATTTCACTCCATCACAACTTCAGATAATTGTTAAACAAGTGGTTGCTATCCAAGGCCTACCTGTAATTATCATTAAGTGGCTGTTTTACTTTTTTATCTTAACCTTTTCTGCTTCTTACTAGAGTTCTGACAAAGTCACATCCTTTGGGCAGAAGTGGAAGAGCAGTGCAATGAGTGTATATGATGTAATGTTAAGGTATTGGCCTAGGACTTAGGAGACACAGGTTCCAGTCTGCCCTCATCCAGGGAACCATGAAAAGTCCCTGAGTGACCTTGGTCTCTCCACCCAGCCTACCTCATAGTGCTGCTTTCATGGAAATAAAATGAAGGAAGATCCCTTGTAAACTCTTTAAAACTTGAAGGAAAGTGCAAGAAGTAATTCTAACAAAGAAACAAGCACAAAGTTTAGGCCACCATGCTGTTCTTCCATCTTTCTGAAAAAACAAGAGTTATAGATGTATATTTTACACAGCTGAGACCTTCACCAGCCCTCCTTTGGTTCAGTTCACTCTACTGGTACTTTTCAATCTCCCGTTGTTTTAATCAATGTTTACATTTGTTCTAAAATACTTTTTCACCTGCACTAAAATTATTAAGGTAGAATCAAATTATACACTGGATTAAGTAAAAATGTTTCACACAAAGCATAAAAATATAAAAAGCACTCTGCTGGATTAGACTAAAGAACTGTTTGTCTGCTAGGTTGGCATCCATTCATTCACTCAATTTAATGGCCACCCAGCTGCATAAGATCTGGGCAGCTTATTTGATTAAAATTTTAACCTGTGTCTGAAATCTTTCTTTAAAAATATCTACAAAAATGTGGGTGTTTTTGTTTTTTGTTCATTTTAGTAATAAGGGGAAATGTATGAGGAAAAGTTAAAAGATGAGAGTACATTTAATGTACAGAAGAGATGGCTGATGGGAGTTGTGATTGCAGTCTTTTAATATCTCAAGGCTTGTCACATTGAAGAGGGAGTAGCTATATTCTGTATTGTGCAAGAGAGCAGAACCAGAATCAATTATTTAAACCAGGCGTGTCCAAACTTGGAAATTTTACTACTTGTAGACTTCAGCTTCCAGAATTCCCCAGACAGCCATGTCCACAAATCTTATAGTTGCCAAATTTGGAGGCCCTTGGTTTAACTTTAAACTAAAAGGAAGTAAATTCAGGCTAGAAACCAGGAAGAATATACTTAATTCTTTAGAAGCTGGATAAACATCTCTCAGAGATGCTTTAGTAGACCCTGTATATACCTGCATCTATCATTTCTATCCCCTGTAAAAGAATCTGATATTACCTTGTAGAAGGGCTTGAAATAAGCATGCAGTACAGCTCTACTAGGAGAGTTATAGTTATGAAATGTTCTTTTAGTCGCATGTTTTTCATAGAAATGCATTTGAAAATTCTGAAAAAATGTATTTAATGGAGCCCTTCAGTAAAATGGTGAAGAGTTTTGCTGAACTCCCCTCTGGGTCTCCCTTCTTCTAACAACAGCCATCAAATTGTGAACCATGGAGAAGTAGTTACACATGGAAGGCTCCTTTCTTTCAGATCTCATTTTCCATTTGTGGCTCAACAACACTTCAGAACTATTTTCTCAAGAGATCACTTATATTTCTTAGAGACGCTCTTTTTTTCAATAGCATAACCAGCTATCAAGTGAAGAGGTAGATATGGAACCAGTGCATACACTTGAAAAACTTTTTGAAAAAAAAAAATCTTTGAACCTCTAACAGATATAAGGAAATAGTCATTCAAGTCTCTATAACTCTTAAAGCAGCGGAAGTCTGAAAAGGGGGCTGTTTTATGACAAGCTGCTAATATTTAATTTAATCCCCTACATTCTAACTACTTACATGACAATGATCCTATTTGGCTCAGGTCCTCTGTTAGAGTTGAGGAGTTTGAATATGGGATGGGTGTCTCAGGTATTGGAAAGTGCTACATTAAGTTACAGGTGGCCATTTTCATCTTCTCCTAGAGAAAAGGCCAGGATTCTGTGTCTGTCCATCATGGACCTTAGATGGACAATTTTATTGTGTTTCACGTGGGATCTCTGATATCTGGTAGTCCAACACCCCCTCTAAATACCTGCTGATTTAAATTTTTACAGTTGCTCTAGGTTGCTTTGTTTATCTTAGCCACACACTGTCCCTGGCATTGCCAGTCTCTATGGTCACCTACTAAATTGCTATTTATTTTTCCTTTCTGATCAGATATGGCACAAGGACATTTACATCTGGCTCACCTGAATAGGGATATCCGAATGCAGCCCAGTTCTGCCTCACCTTTGGAAGGCCGGTCCCCGACTTCTGTACATTACCGAAATGGCAATCAACGCCGCTTTTCTATGGAGGTAACGTGCAAACTATTAGACAAGCTTTGCCCAGTGACAGAAATGATGCTGATGGAGTTCTGGGAGATGCCTCCTCCTCCTCCTCCTCCTCCTCCTCCTCCCTTTAAACATAGCAAGATAAATTTGAAAGCTTGACACTGAAAGGAAGCAACCTCAAATATCATGGCCTATCTAGTTTTCTCTTAACATGTGGTGTGTTTTGTTATATAATAATTGTGCATATGGTCTAGAAGCTGCTCCCACAACAGCTAATGCTAGATTTAACCTGGCATTTATTAAAACTATATTGTATCATTTTGTAGTTGGATCCCACTATCCAGTTTGGAAGATCTTGTCATGTGTGATGTTATTTTTCTTCCCAGGATGTCAGTAAGCGTCTCTCTCTGCCCATGGATATTCGCCTACCCCCAGAATTCCTCCAAAAACTAGAAATGGAAAATCCAGAGATTTCTAAGCCTCTCAGCAGAATGTCACGGCGGGCATCTCTGGTGAGTCTCCAGAACTCTAGAGGTTCCACCGTTTGGGCCAGAGTTTTGTGTTTCGGTTGTAATGTCATCAGATGGTACATCATCACTGCAAACATTGGCTAGAGATTTCCTTAGAGTTTCTCTCAATTCTTACAGTTTCATCTTAAAAGAAAATATTTAAATGTTTTCACAGTAAAGTAGCATAATGATTTTAGTAGTTTTCCTTTCTGATACAGGTAGTTCGCATTGAGCAATTGACTCATTTAACTACCATTCACGGTAATGACAGTGATGAAAAAGTAACTTTGCAATCAGTCCTTGAACTTACGATCTTTGGACATCTGTAAAGCCAAGGAAACCTGAATTGCGGTTGCTAAACAAGAACTGCCTAAAATAGAGTATCGATTTCACCAAGGGATGAAAAATTCCAGTTCTAATCTAGCTAATAATACTTCTTTAGTGAACTGAGAATGAAATGCTTCCTCAAATCTTGTTATTGTTGTTGTTATTTAAAAAATGTGTCTTTACCACCATCTGCTGTTGAATAATAAATATATTAAAATAAGAAATATAAACCAAGCATCTTTAATACTTCCACACAGAAAACCTCTTACTAGCCTAGAAGGATTGATCCATGAATCTCTCATCTTCATTAGTGCTATATATTGTTTTGGAAACATACGCTATATTTGCTGAATAAAATTCAACCTAAACACAGTAGATTAATGTTAGTTTTTCAAGCATTATAATATTCCATGGGAATAGAGTTTGTGAGAGACCAAAACCTTCTTGTGTCACACAAAAGGTCAGGGGACCATTTGGTGAATTAGTCTGGTTATCTTGACCCTTAGATCAATATGCTTATACTTCATAAGCAAAGGAGAGAATCCCCCAGGCAATCCTCATTTTTAATTGATGCATGTGCTGACCAAAGTAACAGGCCATTTGAGAAGTAAATATGAGAAATATTGCTTGCTGCAAAATACCCCAAGCAAAGACAAGAATGTGAGCAGTCTTGTTTTTAAGCTCCACAGTGGGAAAGAAGCAAGAGATCTCCAGATTCTTGAAAGTCAAACGGCTGGTTCTTACCAGCAATTGGCTGGTGACTCTCTGCATGGTAACTGATGCTGAGCTGCAAGTTCAAGGACCTGTCTTCATTTATTTCCCAGATAATTCATTTTAAGCAATATATTTTTACAGAATGGTTATTGGTAAGCTTCTCCTGGAAATCAATCCAATGGGCTAGACTTCTTAATAGACCTGTGTTGACCTGTGTTGTGAGTTTCTTAATATTGCATTTTGTACTGATACTTCTCTCCTTTTTTATGGTAGTCAGACATTGGGTTTGGCAAGATGGAAACTTATGTTAAACTGGAAAAGTTGGGGGAGGTAAGAATAATCTCAAAGAATGATCGGTCCCATCCATCCGTCTTTGCAAGTTCCTGTTGTATTTTTGTGATAATACTTTTGCAACCTGATTTGGGAAACTCACATTTGACATATAGGAGTTTAAGTGTTTAATATCTCTCTAATTCTGAACTGAATTTAAGTACTATAGGATTTATCTGCATAAAAAATAATTACCATTGTGTGCCTTGGAGCATATCAGACTATCTTCATTATAGTTTATTACATCCATTCCTTTATAGTTTCATATAACATATTTTTCCTTTTATTTCATTAGTTAATTCGTGCCTTTTGGCACTTTTATAGTCCAAGTTGCAGTTTTATAGTCCAAGTTGCAGTTCATATGCCATGCTTGTCACCAAATGACACTAAGATTTTGACCCCTGCCACTCATCATGTCTATTCAGAGTGTGCGTCCCAAATTAAATGCACTTTCCATATTAGAATGGACAGGAAGAAAAAAATAGCAAAATTGGTGTGGTCTGGTCTAGAAACTAAGAGACTGTGAGTTCTAGGTTCAGCCCAACCTACCACACAGGGTTTTTTGTTGTGGGAAATTAGGATAAGGAAGGAGTGGTATTAGATATGTTCGCCACTTTGAATTGATAAAAAAAATAATGTGTGAAAAAAATCTAACAATAATAAATTAGATCCAGCCTCTCTGTGGAATTTGTTTGACAGATGGTGTCAGTGGAGATTTATTTTTAATCCAAATTTTAAAAAGTTTAAGGAATTAATTCCTTAAATTCAGGAGGCCCAGAATGAAAAAGAGAGAGAGAGAGAGATGTAAAATCTATTGCATTTTGTGCTACTTACTTTTGTTGCTGCTTTCTTCACAGGGCACTTATGCTACTGTATTTAAAGGACGCAGCAAACTCACTAAGAATCTTGTGGCGCTGAAGGAGATCAGGTTAGAGCATGAAGAAGGGGCACCTTGCACAGCTATACGGGAAGGTAAGGTGTAGACTTGGGGTTTCCAGACCCCTGTTAGCAACATATAGCAATTATTTTTCTAGATCTATTCCTACAAATTCATATGTTGTCAGTTTTCCCTAACATGGTTCTTCCTGGTGTCTTAGATTACATGTCCCATAATCTGTCCTTAAATTTCCTGGGAATTGTGTAACTGGTAGTCCAACCAATCTGTATGGATGAGCTGTGATTCCAACTCATAGCTCCCAACACCTTCAAATGATGTGTTGTGTGATTGATACGGCTATGGTTTGTCTTACAGTTTCCTTACTGAAGAATCTAAAACATGCCAACATTGTGACTCTCCACGATATCATTCACACAAAATGCTCCCTCACTCTCGTTTTTGAATATCTGGTAAGTTTACAGATCTCTTTCTAAGGGAAGGTATAGCTGGCTAAGGCAACTGGCATGGTAGCTTGCCTGGAATACATCAGTAATGTTCTGAGCAGTACTAAGGTTCTTGGTTTTCTTTTAACTCTTAGCTAATCAGTAGCATCCATTAGAAAATGTTCTCTGAAGAATGTTCATTTATTGTTCCCAGATATTGTTTAATTGTGCTCCAGGTAGCACAGATAGCAGTTTTGTTTACTCAGCCATAGTATGTAGTCAGTCCTATTGCATTTGCCAAGCCTTCCAGAAAAGGTGAACAGAGTTGCCCTAAATAGTATCACAAATGGTGTAATTGCAACTGCTGGAGAAAACAGAAAGAAACGGCATTTTCTTAGCAGTAGCAAAAATGTGGCTTAAGAGTTGGGAAAACTTGCATTTTCTGAAACAGATGTGTTTATCAGGAAACATTTAAATAGCATCTGGATTGGGTGTGTTTGCTAGAAGAACTGCTTTTTATCTCCTGTTACAGTTATACCTGCATATTCATTTCACATTATCAACAAATCTCTGAAAAGGTTGCATCGTTCAGAGTTATATAATAAGCCTTACTAACATCTATGTTTTGTTGGAGGTAATACTTAGTTGCAAATATATCTTGTTCTTCTGAAGTCCTGGAAAACATAATTTGATTTGCATTTTCTAATACTAAAGAAATTGTGGACATCTCATTCCTCATAGCAAGTTATGCCCTCAGGACATGCTTATCTTTGCAGGATAGTGACCTGAAACAGTACCTGGATAACTGTGGGAATCTGATGAGCATGTACAATGTGAAGGTGAGTAGACAGATCGATGGATAGAAAGATTGGCCTTTGCAAAGGCTTCTCTTGGAAAATAAACATATGAGAGAATTGTGCATCCCTTCTCTATTTGGTATCCTGGAAATATATTGGATTACTATATGCATAATTTACAACACTTGGTCATTAGCATATCTGGAAGCCATCTGGTTGAGAAATCTGTATTTCGGAAAAACAAACTGCGAATGTTACCAATTGTTTCTTCTCTGATCTTATCTTGCTTCAAGATTTTCATGTTCCAGCTGCTTCGTGGTTTGTCCTACTGCCATCAGCATAAGATCCTACACAGAGATCTCAAGCCACAGAATCTGCTTATTAATGGAAAAGGAGAACTAAAACTCGCTGACTTTGGTAAGTTAGTGAGTGAGATCATCTCCTTGGCTTTCAGAGTAATGGTATTTATTTATTTAGCAAATTAATATGGTCACCCATCTCACATAATGTGACTCTGGGCAGTGTACAAACACAGCAACAATTAAAATAACCAGACAATCTTAAAATACTGAACATAAATCAAAATAAAAGCACAGAAATGCAAAGAACATGAGAAATAAAAATCACTTAATGTTCCCCATGGATTCCATAAGGTTTTTTGAGGGGGGGGGATTAATCTGTTGGCCTTCAGAAGAGTTTCGATGGGTGCTTTTAATATTAGGGTCACACATCTCAAGAAACTTTCCCCTTTTTTTCTCTAATATTTTCCTGTATATTATTTACAAATAAACTGGACTTTTATTCAAGTTATGAGATTATAAGAACCTTTTTTTCAGAAGCATCTTGTAGTTGTTCTGTCACTGAGAACAAGCTCCTTTGAATTTAATGAACATAGTTCTCTAAGTGAAACAATCAATTCAAATAGCTCATACATAACTGTTATGTCCACCACTGTTTTAAGCAGAGGTCTCCAAACTTGGCAACTTTAAGACTTGTGGACTTCAACTCCCAGAATTCTCCAGCCAGCATAGTTGAAGTCCACAAGTCTTAAAGTTGCCAAGTTTGGGGACCCCTGGTTTTAAGTATTGAGTTACATAGGACTCTTTTTTGTAAAAACAGGTTTGTTTTTGTAAAGCATATATGGGTTTAATCTAAATCTCGATTAATAACTGCAGCTGAATCTCACAGGGAATTGTTTTATCCTCAGGTCTAGCCAGAGCCAAGTCTGTCCCAACAAAGACATATTCCAATGAAGTGGTCACATTATGGTACCGACCTCCTGATGTCCTACTAGGATCTACTGAATATTCCACTCCCATAGACATGTGGTAAGCCTAGTGTCTGTACAAGGGTGAAAATGATTGTTCTTCATGCAGTTCCTTTTAAAATTAAGAAATTATAGTTTCGTTGCCCCCGATACATACTTTTTCCAAATTCCACAGCATGCTGATGACATAGGCTTTATAATGTTAAAGACCAACTTCTAAATAAGATGGCACTGCAGTTTACAAGTACTCACTTAGCAGAATCAAACTCTCAGGGGAGGGATGTTACAGAAGATGGAAAAAATTAGATTTTTGTGGCTCATTCCTTCATGCGCCTTGAAACCTCTCTTGACTGGTTAGCAATTTAGTATGAAAAAATAATCCTTTTTGCCTGATCTTCTGGAGTCCTTCAGGATTCAGCATCTTCTTCAGAGACTGAATTAATGAGAGGTATTAATGAGACAAGGCAACCTAGGAGAAAGCACATTGTTCCATTCAACTTCACAAGACCTTCTCCTTTTAGGGGCGTGGGTTGCATACACTATGAAATGGTCACAGGACGTCCAATGTTCCCAGGATCCACTGTGAAAGAAGAACTTAATTTAATATTCAGAATGTTGGGTGAGTCTTCTTCATTGTGTTTCTGTGTTGGACAGAAAATAATGCAATAGATTTCTTAAATGACAATATGTAAATTAGCAGGGAAAGTACATGGAACTCTGCTCAGGAAACAGTGTTATAATAGCAAGACAACCCAAATGATGCCTTCAGATTTTATCGTACCAAAGAGGTACACTTGTGTAATTAACTTCATATTCATGCTTTGTGTTTTCAAAAGTCATGAATATTATTATATAATATTATTACATAAGCAATTGTTGCCAGAGAAATAAAACAGAGATTAAAAACTGCAGGTATTTGAATAAGAAAACATGGACTGCAGGAATTACCAGGAAGGAGTTCTTTTCTTCTTCACAAAGAAAGCAGGTGCCATAGCAAAATGATGGGTAAATTTAGGGGAGTACAATTTGTCAGGCTCATTGTGTGGTATTTCTTACTGAAAGGATCTTAGGATGGTAGACATGGTAAATCCATAATTATAATCATTACTATTAAATGTTAACCACTTACTTATTATCAACCTGTGCTAATGTAGAACATGGTTAGTTTTGACAATCTAGTGCAGTATTTTTCAACCTTGGTTACCTGAAGGTATGTGGACTTCAACTCTTAGAATTTCCCAGCACATCTTCAAGTGCCAAGGTCAAATAACACCGGTCTACTGCTATCCTTAAATTTCTACGTTGCCCTATCCTGCAGAAGAATTTCTTAATTTTGGTTTTATTATTTGAAATGTTCAGAAATCTAAATCCCATGATAGATAGATATATGCCACCTCATGCCATGCTGCAGGTGGATCTAGAAAAAGTGTTAATCCAATCCATTTTTTATTAACTTGCAGGAACTCCTACAGAAGAATCTTGGCCAGGAATCACATCCAATGAGGAGTTCAAAACTTACCAGTTCACACAATATCGAGCCCAACCTTTGATAAATCATGTACCCAGGTAGAGGCAAAATCAAGAAGAGACCAATTTATTATGGATCATAGCTGTTGGTTGCAAGTATTGCAAGGAACAAAATTTCAGCAGTCCTCTTAGAAATAACTAAAGAAATAGATACAGAGAATAAATGGTGGTATAAAGAACTCCTGGAAAAGTTGTTTGATTGTCTGCACTGCCTTCAGTGAACACAGATGATTTTTCTCTGTCCCAATGCAACATGCATCGTTCTTATTCTCTGCGCCGAGATTGAGGAAATGAGAGGCTTTCTTTTCAGGGGCTGCCACTAGATGGCAGTAATGCTTTGAGAAGTTCAAACTGCAAAGGTAAAAGCTAGGCTTTTTTACTGCACTGTGTTGTCTTTACTTAAGAAGGAACTCAAATTGCCAAGTGATGTTTTTGTTTAATTAGCTTCTGCAGTCTGCTATCCTCCAGGCATATTGGATTATTATTTCCACCATCACCAGATTTCAAACTTTGGGGAAGTTGATCTGAGCCACTTTTCTTTGAAGCTGGCCCTTTTAACCAGAGCTAGAGTCATGTGTTCAGGTATTGGTCCTGCTGCTTGAAGAGTTTCCCAAATACAACAATGCTTTCTTCTCTTGCAGGCTAGACACAGAAGGCATTGACCTTTTGACAAGTCTCCTCCTGGTAGGTGATCTTACCTGCTTATCCAGATATCAAAAATGTCACAGCCTAGTTCCCACATGCTGAAGGGATTCAGTATCATTGGTTTGCACCCTGGGGATTCATGGAGCGACTGTCCAAGAAATCTTCCCAGACCATTATTCCTACTACGCCCCTTGATTTTTCTAGTTGACAGTTTTTATTCTAGAAGTCAGGAGTGTCAAACTCAAGGCCTGTGGAGTGCTTAGATATGGCCTATGGGACCGCCCTGGAAACAGCAAAGGACTGGCCCACGGTATCTCTGCCAGTGAAAACTGAGCTCGGGCCACCACAGCTCCCCCCCAACATGAGTGACGTCAAGCTGGCCATGTCTACCTGACCACATCCACCCACCCCCAAGTCAAACACAACCCTTATGTGGCCCTAATGAAATCCAGTTTGACACCCCTGCTATAAGTGAAAGAAGCTAAGATTGTTAGTGCTGAAGTTCTATAAATGGATGCTGAAAATAGTATGGGTAGTGCTGGCCTCTCCTCATTTTGACCTTTTGTGGCCACCAAACAACCTTTTTCTCAATATTATTTTTGTGCTGTTCAGACAGTATGTAGTTAATTGGGAAGTGGGATAGTTAGTTAGGAATTGGGAGCTGTCCCGTTAAGGGAATGCATCATGGGAAATGTAGTTAAGGCATCATTGGAAATGTAGTCCATGTCATGTGGTCACATCTGTAATCCTGATTGGTCACTGAATTGACCCTTGGTTGGGTTGGGGGAAGCCCTTTGTCCCTTTCCTTGCCTGGACCCAGCAGCAGGCTGGCTCCCTCCACTCCTTTGTTATGGGATGAAGAGAACTGTCTTTTTACACTATGAAATCAGCTATTCTTATAGTCTTATTTCAAAGTAAATATGATATTACAGTGATATTTCAAATCCTAAGTAAGGTTAGCAATCTTCTAAGAAGTTTATTTGCTTGCTTTTTCTGGTGAATTCTAAGCATTTCTCTTGATTTTCCTGAGTAATTTCACAAAGCTGCACCATCATGCTGCATTCTCAGCCTTTCCTTCTTCCTGACATTTGAACAAATCTTCTCCAAATCACTGTTTCTAAATGTTCTTGCTTCACATTGAAGAAGACAAAAACAGCCACTTAAAATGCACTGGGAATGGTAATGATTCCATATTGAGATCTTTATTTTTCATTATTTATGCAAAGGAAGCCATGTTGAGCAATTAAGGAAAATACTTTATAAACATCAGTTGCTAAATTCTCTCAGGCTAAATATTAATCAGAGTGTATGTGGGAGTATGGGAATGCATGTGGTAGAAAGGGAGAAGAGGTTGAGAAAGAGCCAGAGAGTGCTAAACCCCAAACTCTGAATTTAGGCAGTCTTAAAATGAATCGTAGAAAGCTGTTCCCAGTTGAATTTGATTGGTTTCTGGATCTTATGCAGGTTTCAGGTTGCACCTAAAAGTGCACCTAAAAGCGGAAAACGGCTAGTTCCCACTTATAAATATTTATGACAATATTTATAGGCCATCCCAATTTAATATAGCTTGTGTGGGATACAAAAAAAAGGAAAAAGGAAAAAATATATGAAATAAAAATAGTAGCAAAGAATATGTTACATCACAGATGCCCTTAGAAGCAAACAGGTTAATCTAAGGGCCAAACTTGCCTTGAAGTAAAATTGATTTGATCTATTCATAGAATTCCAGCAAAGTTAGAGTCCTCTTTATATGTGGGAGGGATGGATGGGATGGATGGATGGGAGGGATGGTATTCCAAGAAGGAAGTCCACCACTGAGAAGGCCTGGCACCTGGTTCATGCCCTATAAAATTTACAAGGGAGAAACCTGAAACACACTCTCTGTGGGAAGATAGATGAGAAGATTTGATTCGCAGGGGTGTTGGGCTGGATGCGTCATGGCTAGGCCATGCCCACCCCAGCTCTACGAAGGGGGAAAAAGGTCCCAAAAGGTCACATGATGGCAATGTGGTGCAGTGTTGGACATCCATGTGATAAGGCATTGCCTGATTTATCCCAATGCTGCATCATGAGGGTCTTCAAGGTGTTGATCAGTACATTGAATAGCACCTGAAAGCCAGCTCACAGCTAATGTGGAAACTTCAAAAGAGGCATTATTCTGGCCTGACAGGGTTGTCCCATCAAAAACCTTTGCATTTCATACCAGCTGTAGCTTCTGGATCATCTCCAAAGGCAACTCTACATGCCATGAGTAGCCGTACTACTACGACTACAATGGTCATTTGAAACCAAGCTAGGATAGCATTCCCTAGTGCTCAAAAGTTATTTCGATTCTCATGTGGAACATACATCTGTTTCAGCTTGACAGTGGTATATTTAGTGGTAAACCAAAGGCCAAAAACTACTCTGAATCAATCATTCACAATTGTGACTTTCAAATACACAAGTACCACAGTATGCAACTCAGAACAGGCCACTGATATTGGGGCTGAGGCCATTGTGAACATAATTCATTTGTCAGCCTTGCCATGTGGATATAGTAGTTTTACCCCAGCTTTCAGGCAGATATAGCATAGGCAAAAATGACATGACTGGCAAGTTCAGATCAAAATAATTGCTATTTCTAAATGCTGTTGCAAAGAGGGGGTAGAATGAGGTTTATCCAGAATGGTGCTACTTTAACCATCAAGTTTCAAGTTTGCACTCCACAGCACTTCTGGATCTTAGTCAACTAGCCCTCTTTTACAGATATTGGAGATGAAATCAGCTTAATAATCCCAGTGGAATTGAGGAATACAGTTTGGAGCTCCAATCAGAACCAATAATGCCACTGTAATTGGCCAGGAAACAAGAAACTGAAATGATACGATTGGAAGCTTCTGAAAAACAAAAATAGCTGGTTTACTTTAATAGTAAACCAGTAAAGATTCCCACAAAGGAACATAACATGTCTAATCTTTCCAGTGAACAGTCATAAATGTTCCTCCATTCTAAGTCTGATCTATGATGTTACCAAGTCTCAGATTTGTTGATTATTGTGTTGCTTTGTTCTGTTTCTGCTGCCAAGATTCTTTTGTTCTGTTCTGGCTTTTGTAGGCAATGTTGTTTGACTCTGCAGTAATTGCTTGACTTCCCTGTACTGAGCCAAAACTAAAATAAAAACATACATTTTCTAAGGTACAGTTGTTTTGTGTGACTGCAGACTGAAGAAACCAGACAGGATGCAATTTTGCAGAAGAATTTGGGGGGGTCATAGGTTTGACAGACTTAAAAAAATGGTAGAACTTGTACAACACCTCTACTGAACTCCAAAGGACATTAGGAAAATAGTATTGTTAGCAAAATAACTCTTCATTTTATGTTTTCTAGTAATAGTTTCCATCTCCCATCATGCTGTTCAACCAATCATTTATGATTCTTCTGCAGAGTAATATCCTCAGATCAGTCAATTATTTAAAAACTCTGCAGCCACACAATGAATCAGCATCTGGGAACAATGTATAAAATCACTGTAAAAATATGGACTCAAGTCTCTTTTTCTCTCAAGTATGAAGCCAAACAGCGTATCTCTGCTGAATCAGCTCTACGACATCCCTACTTTATGATCCTAGATGAACGAGTCCACCTCCTTCCTGAGAGTAAGCATACAATGGGAACATTGTGACACAAGATGACTTCATAATAGTTCCAAAGTATGAATGAAGGCAATTGTTTTGTATCAGATTTAAGCCCTTTCTCTGATTCTTTCAAAACACCTTTTACTTCAAGCAATTAGTCACAGTAAAGTTTTAGAAGTATCATACAGGTCGTCCTTGACTTACAACAGTTCATTTAGTGACTGTCCAAAGTTACAACAGCATTGAAAAAAGCAACTTATGACCATTTTTCACAGTTACGACCTTTGTAGCATCCCCATGATCATGTGATCAAAACTGAGATGTTTTGCAACTGGTTCATATTTGTGGCCGTTGCTGTGTCCCAGGACCATGTAATCCTCTTTTGTGACCTTCTCACAAAGTCTTTCTCACATGCAAAGTCAATGCAGAAGCCAGATTCACTTAACAACCAGGTTATGAACTTATCAACTGCAGTGATTCACTTAACAACTGTGGCAAGAAAGGTTGTAAAATAGGCCAAAACTCACTTAACAAATGTCTCACTTAACAACACAAATGTTGAGTTCAATTGTGGCCGTAAATCAAGGATGACCTGTAGTTCCCTAACAAGAACTAAGATATGGTTTGTTGTGCAGCACAGTTGATGGCTGCATTTTATTGTTTGTAGGTGTTATGCTTTTGGCTGTCACTTTGAATACATCTGCATTTTAGTCTCACAAAGCCAGAGCCCAAGTACGCAAAATAAATATGTAAAATATTTAAAAAGGCAGAAGTGGAAGGAATAAAATCCAAGAAATGCCATTTTTGAAAAAAGAAGATGATGTGGGAAGAAAAGCTACTACCAGAACTTTGGTAACATAAATAACATCCAGTGAATACCAACACCACTAATCCAATTGATCTTCTATAGGTGTACTTACTTGTAGGCATCCATCCACTGTAATCAATTGGGTCACATACACAGAATGAATCAGAATGGCAAGTGACCTCTGAGAGATCCAATCCATGACTTCTGTTTCTATTTCCTTCTCTCCTCTAGCTGCCTCCATCTTCTCTTTGAAGGAAATTCAACTTCAAAAGGACCCTGGCTGCCGAGGCTCAAGTTTCCAGCATGTTGGTAGGTACCAACTTCTTCTGGAAAGCAGTTTGACTGAAGGCCCTGCAGAAATCTTTTGTTTTCTACATTTTTCTGATATAGATTGGAACAGTGGAAAGCACTGGCTCATAGCAATCAGCTATCGAAATATGTTCTAAGGATCAGATCTCATAACATAGAGATGATGGCCTGTACTGTTCTAAAAAATAATAGAGTGTGTGTTTCCCAAGTATATGCCTTGCTAGTTGTATATCATGATTGATCCTTCACAGGAGAGATCGTCATAATACATGATAGCACATAAAACCCAGGTAAATGAATATAAGGAATCCCAGAAGGTGGTATATGTAGAAGGGAGAGATTTCTAACCCTCCAAATGTTGCTGTAGTTTAATTTTCAGCAGATACAGCTGCCATGACAAGGTAAATCAAACTGGAAGGTAAGATTTGGCAATATTTTGCCAGAGGCCTTGCCTATTTTGAGGGGGCCAGAGACAGGAACTAAACATTTTTCCCACATACTTTTCGGGGACACAAAACAAACGAGTAGTATTTTTTTAATCATATCCATCATAAGTCCTTTATATATATACTATAGTAATTATATATATATATATATATATAAAGTTTTCGCGGGTACTTACATGTATGGTATTCAGCTTTGTTCAGGTATTTTCCCATGTCATTATAGTTGTGCTTTTAAAGTTGTAGCAACATTTCGGCTGAAAAACTCACCTGCCATCATCAGGCTTTTGTATTGTGTTCATCTGTGAGTCAGACTTTCACAGGCATATACACCCAATCAAGTCACACTCCCAAAAAGGGAGCAGTTAAAAGGAAGAAGCAGCTGCAAGCTCACATTACTCCGAGAAGCACAAAGCCAAAGACACAAGCCTGAAGATGATGAATGAGACTTCATTTGAAATGTCGCCTAGATACTTCCAATTTTACATGGGAGAAAACCCGAATAACCAAAGATCCACATACAAATACCCGCGAAAACCTCAGAAAACAAATATATATTTTTATATATACGTACCATTATACCATATATATATAATACTAATTTCCATTCCTCCTACATATATAAAGTAGAGGAAGGAATTGTGATGAAACCTTTTTTATCTCATCTTCCAAGCCACAGATTTTCGTCCATGGTCCTTAGATCATCTCATTTTTCTCCTTCCCTACTTCTACAGCTCGAGGAAAGAATAGGAGGCAAAGCATATTTTAAGCCTCTTTGTTCATTCTTCCAATCACTGAGAAGATGGAAGCACTGAGAAGAGAGCAGACCGCTGGATCCCAGATAGTCCATCTGAGAAAAATAAGGGTACTGTACATGAGCTGCCTTGCAATCAGCTATTTCATCTACCCTACATGAGCTGCCTTGCAATCAGCTATTTCTCAAAATCCCACCTCTTTCTCGAATGAGAAAGGAAAAGAGAGACATTGTAAAGCCTCAGCCAGCTCCCATTCTTCGTACAGCTGTTGGAATATACCACCTGGGCAAGAATCTGCATCAGATGGTGAGTGGCCTCTGAAACAATGAGGCTGCTGTTTTAGATGGAAGCAATCCAGTCGTGGAATCAACATCAGCGTTGCTTCTTCAATGTCTTATCATAACCAATGTTTTGCATTCCATTAGATTTCTATGATGTCTTTCGGATATGATGAGTATGAAGTAACAGTGGAAAGCACTGGTTCTCATGCAAATCCCTCTCCCTCTGTCTTTAAACTGAAAAAAGAAATATGAAGGTTTAACAAGGGCAACTACAATAACAATTTAAAAGCCTGCTTTCTTTGAGTTGTCTTTGCTCTATTTTTTTAAGAAATGTTCTCAATTCTAAAAGGTAAAAAAATTCAGGAGAAAGGATGGAGTAAGAAAGGAAGGTGCTTTGATAGATTTTCTTAGGCCCTTAGTACTTAGGCATATCAAAGCATATACTAAGTTTAAGTTTTCTCAAACAAGATTTCAACTTGCAGACCATGATTTAAATCAGTCCTGCTCTCTAGATACATTGAATTATAATTCCCACAATTTCCAGAAGCTAGGTACATATGAAAATTGTATTTCAGCACAGGTAAGGAGTACCAGTTTCGAAGAAGCTGATATAGGCCCTATTTTATTAAATATATACCTCCTATTTTTTTAAGAATCTCTTTTTAACTTACCATATTTATCAGAAACACATAGATATACAAAGGCTGAAATCAAGTCATAAAAAAGTAGACAGTACTTGAATCTTTAACTTGGTTGACTGTAAAACTGAAAAAAAACTTGATTTTTTTTGGCCCTTTATACTTCTGTATTCCTGTACTGAATCATGTCAGTACTGTGCTGATTCCTGTACTGAATCATTCCTGTGCTGAATCATGTATGAAGATACAACTATTCTTTATTGTTTGTCCCTATCACTACAGAAATATGCTTTAAAGTTACAAAGCATCCTCAGTAAACTTGCCACATCCTTGGTGATCCTGGCACAAACAAAAAAATTCTACACTCCTATGTGCATTTATGTATTTCTCAATATTATTATGCTAGCAAACCTATTCCCTAGTAAGTATGTGCGGCACTTCAGATAAATCCCCTTAAATCTATGGAAAGCAAGGGCTGCTGATCTATTTTTATTCCTGAGATCAGTCAACTTACCAGAGGGATGGTAGTACTGGAATGAAAAAGCTTGAAACCAATTCCTCCTACCACTCAAAAGATGTTATGCAACTGTTCCACTTTCTTAATGAATGTTATATGTTAAAACAAAAGTTGTAAGAAATGGTGGGAAAGGATGTGAAACCAGGACATTAACTTTTGGATCAAATACATGCAAAAACCCTAAATTATAAGTGAAGATGCAAAGTGATTGTGCAATAAAAATGTAACTAAAGACATTTTTATGAGGAAATCAGAGTGTTTCGATACTGAGAGTAGCTAGCATTACCAAAACCTTTCTTCTTTTTTTTTTTCCTAATAGAAAAAAGGTGAAAGAAATCGTGAACAAACACCAACTGTTTCCAGGTGGAATACAACATATTCTAGATATATTCCTCCTCTTAAAATGTCATGAATGAGCCAGGGCAATTGCACAATAAAAGCCTTGCTTCAAAGCATCCAAAGTGGCAGATTGTGTAATCAGTTCAGGTATCTGTGTGATTCAGGTATCTGTGTGATGCAACTCAAGATTATAGTACTTCTTCTGCATAGCCTAATGAAAAGAGGTGGTTAACCTGGTTCCTAATAATAACCATTGTGAGCAAGACTTCTCCCCCGATACCCCCCCCCGCAAGTTCCTTATCTTTGCCTTTTATAATATTTTAATTAAAACTGAGTTCAGTTAGAAATGGGCATACAGGCAAAATGAATATTAGCCTCAGGGCCCCACAAGCATATTTAGAAAATAGCAGCTCTCAATGCCTGCAGCACAATGCTTTATTTGAACTTGTGCCTATCGGCTCAGAAGAATCCAAAGTGGAAACAAGGAATGATGGAGGGGTCAGAAAGTGGTGTCAAATTAAAATTACCTTTTGATAAATCTACTGTTTGTGATTTCCATACTGACATGATGCATATTTTGTTGCTACATGTTCTCAAAATTGCCCATCATATAATTGCCTATCTCTGCTCTAGAAAACTATTCTTCAGTGCTTCAGTTTTAACAGCTGTTCAATGAAAAGATTTAATTGAGTGGCCATTTGCCATTTGTGCAGTAATCGTTCAAAATTTGTTGTTCTGTTTTTGATTGTTGTTTCTTCATTTTGGAGTAAAAAGTAAGGAGGAATCCACTTAGGTAGCAGATTCCAGAAGACGCACCAAATTAGAGTCACCAATCTCTCTAAGAGATCCAACTCTGATGGGAATGAAGGAAAAGTCATTGATCTTTCGCTTTGAAAATGTTTTGGTTATCAATGGCTCCCTTTTGTAAAACAAAGACAATATATATATAGATTTTGTATGATTTTCTTAAGAAAAGAAAAGGTGTACAGAAATATAGATTGATCTCATCAGCAACGAATTAGCAATGGACTAAATACTTGTAGTAAAGAACTGCCTAGCTACTTAAACTATTATGTGAATTTCAGCCTTTCTTCTCTTATCGTTAGTGTGCTTGCTTCCTCACTCAGCCATAATACCCTGGTGACAAAAGAAACTATAACTGACCCACTTCCCTTTCTTTGCAATTTCTATAGATCTAATCCACTGAGAACCTATAATGCCAGCAGATCCCTCGCAACCACAGGCTTAAACCTTCAAAGCTCTCTTGTCTACTTCCTTCCTGCCAATAACATACAGTCATTTCTCTTAAATGTTGTGTTGTGTTTTACCACTTTCTCCCCCATAATTCCCCGCTTGGATACTGTTTCCAAAATGCCAATTTTTTAAATCAGGTTTCTGTTTCCCGGGTTATTTCTCACTTTATCCTTTCTCTTCATCTCTTAACTTACATATGTAGCATTCCTTTTATATTCAGTTTCTCAACACAAGAAAATACATTTTATGGAGAATATCTTGTTTATATCCTCTGTCAATTTATCACAAACCTGTTCATCAGGTTTTTCTTTTGATTCTCCTCAATCCACTGTTTATTTTTAAGCATCATGGCTCTAGCTCTTGCTTCCTTCCCTGCAGGGCTATTTCGCAACACTAAGTCCTCAGGGAGCCCTAATTCCTGAAAGAAATTTCTTCCCATTCCATCACAGAAGAAGCTGAAATTATGAATAATTATTTCTTGATCAACTGGATTCTGTTTTATTCGTTGCTGTTGGTCAACCAGTCAGTACTGTTTTAATTCCTTCCAACACTAGGCTTTAATGGCCTATTTTTTCTCCATTTGGCTATTCCAAAATAAATTAGATATTCTAATTATCATTCAGTTATATGGTTTTGAACTTTCAGGAAACATCTTGCATATAATTAAAATTAAAAGAAAAAAAATACTTGAAACATCATATCAACAGACAAGATCCCCCATCGAGGATATACAGAATGACAAGGTGGTTGAGCTGGCATGCCAGTTATGTTAGTAAAGGCCAAAAGAAAACTGTCAAGCAGAAGGGCTTGCTTGGGACTTAAGGGCAAATCCACCCAGTAATCATTCCCTCTCGTGTTATCTCAGTGGTTTTCCACAACTGATGGCTTTATTTTACAAAGCTATTTTTGCTAACATAGATGATGCGTCCAAACAATGCAGGGCACTTGATAGTCATTGGAGGAGCAGCCTGAATTATCTGAACTATGCCAACATTATCAAGGTAGATTCTACCTGTTTCTTCAGTCCTATTTGGGCATGAAGGAAACCCAGACCTCTGGCTTTCACTGCCAGCCTTTTTTTTAATGGTTTGGTCAGCTGGTTAACCTTAAGAGTGAAAGACCCTGAAATTGACTAGCCCATCCCTCATTTTCACTTAAAATGAATGCGAAAATAGTCTTGTCTCATGCTTCTTTAGCCTGTATGATTTGCAATTCTTTTCCCAATTGCTGCTGTTCCAAGGAAGTCCCAGTGCTTTGCTCCCTCTCCCTACATCTATTCTTAGGATAAGTTACATCGGTCACACCATTTCATATGACTAAGTCCTTCCTCAGGTGCCACTCTTACCCACTGTTTGAATCTCAGCTACCAGATCTGGAAACCAAACTATGATTCTTTGTTACTATATAGAGGTTATTAGGCTGACCAGATGGCCCCCACTTTCAAGGAATAAAAATAGCAAAGTACAGTCAATCAGCAGAAGAATGGGGAGGGAGGGAGGGAGGAAGAGAGGCGTAACTAAAGCATAGCCATAAGGCAGTGGTGGCTAACTTTTTCGGCACTGAGTGGAAGCGCACGTGTGCTCATGTGCCAGAAACTGGAAGAACAGCTTCCCAACACATGCACAGGAGAGCTCCGGAAACCAGAAGCTTAGGTTCCTGGTGGACATATGCACAGCGGCCACTTGGTCTTCTGGTTGCTAATGCATGAAGACCAGCTGGCTGGTGCGCACATGCACTCTAGGGAGCTGCTCTTCTGGTTTCTGGCACTCCTGTGTGCGCAAAGACCATCTGGCTGACACACATGCACGCGCTGGAACCCAGAAGAGCAACGGGGAATGGCTGGCATGCCCAGAGAGATGGCTCCGTGTTCCACTTCTGGCACGTGTGGCATAGGTTCACCATCACAGCCATTGGGCATGTCAGCTGGAGAAGACTTTTCACCTTCTGAATAACCCCAACTGAAGCTGGAATTTCAGCCAAAGGAACCACCATTCATGGATTTTAGAATGAGGTGCCTTAAAACTGGAGAGGCAGCATAAATCCATTTTGAACATGTGGTGAAGGTATTCTGTAGGGGCAGCAAGATTCAGGTGCATATTTCCTGTCAGCTTTGAGAGAAAATAGGAAAACCATAAACAGCTGTGTGGTTAAGCCTAATCTTGTCTTGAATGAATCTGGTTATTGGGATGAGGACCATGAAGTTAGAAAGCTGTCCATTTTATATGAAATTTCAGAAACCAGCAAGGAGAGAAATATGTCTTTTTTTGCCTTTCCCATTCTTCAGAAATTTCTCTTGCATGGAATTATACAATTAATTGTTAAATGAATCATGAAACACATCTTTACCAGCTTTTTCCTTCGCATTATATAAATGAAGTGGAACTGAATGTTTTTTTTTCCTGAGCCAATTAGATTATATTAACAGTTATTTGACATAGCCTGGAATAAATACTTTGACCAATTAAAACCACAACCATAACTGTTTACCCAATGTCACATTCACTTTTTAAAGACTTCCGTACAAAAAAAATGATAAGTATTAAAGGGGAAAGCAGTAATTTTAGTACTGGATTTTGCTGACAACAGTTAGCCTACTTGCAGTGCTATTTACAAAGGTAAGACATTTACCTGGTTTTTTTTAGACAAAAATATTTGCATAAGAAATGGATTCAGTAAAGCATTTAATTACATGCTAATATTTTGCATCTAGATTGACATGTGGAAATCACTATGCCTAAATACCATAGTGTTTTGGTGTGTTACTATTCCTAGGATGAAACATGGAGATAATCATTGCCTGTTTACAATCATTATTTATTCATAGCTTTTTTGTCCTGCTTGTTAGCCAGAAAAGCTGCCAGCAGCACAGTAAAACAAGACAGGGCTTGCTTCAAGCTTGTACGGTAATCACAGCATAGAAAACTGGGTGGGGAAGGATAAGAGAGAAGGGAGATTGACTCAGTTATTAAAATTACAAAAATTCTTACAAGATTAATTTTGTAAGATTAAAACAATTATATGAGGTGGTATCCAATGGAGTATTTATTTCCCATTCCATCCTGTTTTGATCAAATGTCTCTATCTTTGTGTCAGATTCTATTGGTATATGTTTCCCCTTCCTTGGCATTCAAATTACTTAAAATAGATTAAAGTGCCAAATGTTTTCTTAGTATACATTTTAAAATTTGCTTCCTCTATTAACACACTTAACAACAATCTTAAAGACAACAGGACTTCCTTCAGTACACAATGGCATTGTACTATAGTTATTTAAACTCATATATTTCCCTTTTCTTCCATTCTTATAGCATTCAGTCAATACTTTCTCAGATTTAACACAGTTGTGAATCTTATTGAATTTAATTTTATATCTCTTTTCACCTGAGAGTTTAACAAAAAATTGCAGTCAATTACATCAAAATTACTTGGGAACAGATTTAGCCTTTGCTAATAGTCACTATGGTGAAGAAAATTGCATGATCAGAATCTAATAACATGTCCAGAAAAATACACCTTTAGGGGAGGAAATGCAGGCTTTCCAATCATCTCCTTTCTGGGTGCATGTAATTATAGGAATATACATCTGAGCTGTAATGTGAATAAGGCATTAAATTAGGCTACCTGTATGCATACATCAAGGATAGTTTTGTTAGCAATGATCCTGCATGATTGCAGAGTATGCATAGTTTTGCACTCCTTTTTCCTGTTACTTACAATGTATGAGCCAAGAGGAGTCCAGTTCTTTCAGAAAGTGCCCAGTATCCCATGATCCCCTGAGCCAAAACATCTAACATGAAGAATTATAGAAAAGATATTTTAGGCCATTGCATCTTGTACTCGTGTCTTCTAAGATATTAGAATC